CATGATAGCCAGGGCCGTGGATAAGGGGGTACCACCAGGCCTCCTGTATGGGGCCCAGACAGTTGGCTGAATTGGATGTGGGCAGGGACGATGATTGGCACAGGGGAGGGGTAATGACTGAACCGATCCCTTGTATGGCTCTCTCTGCAGCAGCCGAAAGTTGGCTTCTCCTCTCCCTTCCACTGGCTTTCAGCTGCTGCAGAGAGAGACACATACAGGGGATGGGTTCCAGTAATTTCCTTCCTGGGCAACATATGTTTCCCTTTTTTTGGGGGGGGGGGCGTATTAGGTTGGCTGTATGAGGCCCCTCTTACAGCCCTGATGGCAACCAAACAGCTTCTATCTTTCTATCTTCAGCTTGTTCAGTTAAGCTTTGACAGTGAAACCTGGAAGCTGATTGGTTTCTATGCAGAGATGCACCAGATTTTGCACTCCCGTTTTAGTAAGTCAACCCCACAGTGTCTATATTTCAGTATACTTCTCAGTGCAGTGGCATCACTTTTCATATTTATTCTCAGATCCAGAGAACACCAGGGCCACTGAGAAAGACTTGAAAATTGAGAAAAAAGAAGAAAGACAAGAAGAGATTAAAGGGGAGGAAATTTTTATCATCAAAGGTGAGTAATGGAAAAAAAAAAAAATCCTATATTCTCCGCATTCCGTACTAGAACAATCCCCCCCCCCCCCCCCCCCACCTGTTCCTCATTCAGTAGACAGAAATGGGGGGACAGTATGTGCCCAGTGGGGGGGTCAGGAGCCATCAGCCTCATTAGACTCCGGCTCTCCTCCTCACATCATGTCATTGAGACGTGACCAGTCTCCCCCCACACACACTCTCTGGGGTCTCTCACATCTCAGTACAGGGGGCTTCACTCTCATCTTTATTCACAGACCCTGGAGACACCAGAGAGACTCAGAGAGACGTCAAAGCTGAGGAGGAAGTACATCTTGGGATTAAAATGGAGGAAATTCCTATGGAGATCAGCACAAGTGAGTAACATAAACACTATATACAAAAAAGGTCATATTCTCCTTTGTTCAGTCTCTTATGAATTGATAAAGGGGAAGATTTGTGGTACAGGAGATGCAAAAATGGACCATCTGGAAAGCGGAAGCTGAGCAACAGTTTAGATTTTTCAATGTAGCTGCCAAATGCCATAGATGTTAACCACTTCAGATCCGGAAGATTCACCTCCCTTCCTGACAGGGCCATTTTTTGCGATACAGCGCTGCGTTACTTTAACTGGCAATTGCGCGGTCATGCAACGCTGCACCTAAATGGAGTGTTATAAACAAAAAAAAAATGACAATTTTTTATTTTCTACTATAAAACATATCCAATATACAAAAAAAAATTAAGAAAATCAAATTTCTTCATAAATTAAGGCAAAATGTATTCTACATTATTTTTGGTAAATCCCAATAAGCGTATATTGATTAGTTTGCGCAAAAGCTATAGCGTCTACAAACTATGGGACGTATACTGGAATTTTTTTTTTTAAACTAGTAATGGCGGCGATCAGCGACTTATAGCAGAACTGCAATATTGCAGCGAACATTTTTACAGTAATTAAAACTTTTTGGGAACCAGCGACACTAATACAGTGATCAGTGTGCTAAAAATTATACACGGATTACTGTACTAATGACACTGCTTGGGAAGGGATTAACATCTGGGGTGATCAAAAGGTTAAGTATGTGTGCCTAGCTATGTGCTTGGTGTACACTAGGTGGTGCTTGTACTAGGGAAAGTGATGGATCGTGTTCCCAGCTCTGCAGGGACACACAATCCATCACTCCCCCCCTGTCACAACAGAACTGTGCCTATGTAAACATAGTCACAGCTTTGTTTTTCTTCACTGCTAGACAATCTGTAGGTGTCAGCGAAGATTATTTTCGCTGGGACTTGCAGATTGGCTTCTGCTGTGACAGTTCACAGCAGAGGCAATCCACTGACCTCTGTGAGATAGAAGTGCAAAATCACACCTCTCTTGCGCTCTCTCTCTCTCTCTCGCTTGCTCAGCAGGGAGGATTCCCCCATCCTCTTCAAATGTTTGGATGGGGGAATTGTGTACTTTCCATTGTTGTGCAGTGCGACCGCAAACGCAGGAGAAAATGCATTTGCATCAATGGGCTGCAGTGCTGATCAGTGTATTCTGACAGAGGGTGTGTCCATTCTGTCCGAATACTACAGCACAGTAAGGAGGATTCCTGCATCCACCTCACTTGTGTAAATGGCTGATGAAAAAAGACATATCCTCTTAGCCTTAGATAATAGCAGAGACTAGAAGTTAAAATCTCATGGACCGGAAGCATTGTTCTAATACAGTGGTCTCCAAACTGCAGCCTGGGGGCTGAATGTGGCCTTTGGCTTGCCTGTATCTGGCCCTTGGGGCAGTGTTCCTCCATTAACAATAGGGCAATAATTCCTGCTACTGACATCAAAGGGGAGACACTATTATTCCCACTGACGCCAATGATTGGGCACTATTATTCCCACTGACACCAGTGATGGGGCACGAATCCTCCCACTGACACCAGTGATGGGGCACGAATCCTCCCCACTGACACCAGTGATGGGGCACGAATCCTCCCACTGACACCAGTGATGGGGCACGAATCCTCCCACTGACACCAGTGATGAGGCACGAATCCTCCCACTGACACCAGTGATGGGGCACGAATCCTCCCACTGACACCAGTGATGGGGCACGAATCCTCCCACTGACACCAGTGATGGGGCACGAATCCTCCCACTGACACCAGTGATGGGGCACGAATCCTCCCACTGACACCAGTGATGGGGCACGAATCCTCCCACTGACACCAGTGATGGGGCACGAATCCTCCCACGACACCAGTGATGGGGCACGAATCCTCCCACTGACACCAGTGATGGGGCACGAATCCTCCCACTGACACCAGTGATGGGGCACGAATCCTCCCACTGACACCAGTGATGGGGCACGAATCCTGACCACCCCCACTGACACCTGTGATGGGGCACGAATCCTCCCACTGACACTTGTGATGGGGAAAGATTCTCACCCCCCCCCGGCACCAATGATGGGGCACGATTTCCCCCCAACACCAATGATGGGGAGCCCCAGGAGGCTTTATCATTATTTACTGCAAAGTGGAACTTCACCCAAAAGGTTCTCCTTGTCTGCCTCCCCCCCACCCCCTCTACCACCATATTTAACACTTTTTGGGGGGAAACGGGTACCTGATTTTGATAAGATACCTCCCCTCACTTCCAGTCAGATGCGCAGCAGCAATCTGAGACAGAAATTTGCCCCCCTTCTTCCGCAGCCTTCTGGGACACAAGACTATGGGACCATTCACAAAGCGTAGAACACTTTGCACATGTGCAGTAGAAAACTGGCTGTGAAGCTGCAAGGCTTCATTTCCACTTTCCCTTACTGAAGATGTTGGCACCTACCCCCGAAGTCAATTGACAAATCGGCTCAGGGTGAGGACATCGCTGGAACCCTGGACAGGTAAGTATCCTTGTATTAAAAGTCAGCAGCCACAGTATTTGTTGCTGCTGACTTTTAATGTTTTTGGGGGGAAGCCTGGAGCTCCGCTTTAGCCTCTTCCAATCTGGCCCATACCGATAAATGGCCGGACGGGAGTGCTGCCGATGTGGGTGGACGTTTCTAAACGTCCCCCTGCATCCATTGCCTGTGCATGCTCCCTAGGAGCGCGCGGCACTGTGATTGGAACACAGATCACTGTACGGGACCTCTGTATGCGGTCCCGATCATGTGATCACTGGTTGGCCAATCAGTGATCACATGAACAGTAGTAAACAAGATGTCACTTCCTGACATCATTGCTTGCTACTAGTGAAATCTGTGAATGATCACAGAGGTCACATGGTACAAGGCTATTCACAACAGCCTTGTACCATGTGACAAGCTGTGACCAATCACAGCTCTCACAGTATTTTTCAATGGCTGCAGGAATTCAGCCAGAGAGGAGAAATTATTGCTTTTACAGCCTTTATGGGTGTAAAAGCAATCGGTGTAAAAAAAAAAAAAAAAACAATCTTCATCACCCCCCACAAGTATTACGGTGTCACTATGGTGACACTGTACTGCTAGGGTGAAGGTATGTTAAAAAAAAAAAAAAAACACACACACACTTGATCACTTGACAGAGCCAAAGTCATCGGTTCTTTACACTGATCGGTGATACACTGTGTCCCAGGGACACAGCGCACCACCGATCGCCACACTGTGTGGCCCCCAGGGGGGTGCGCGTGTGGTCACAGTGGGAGGATGCCATATGACGTCCTCCCAGGATGAGAGAACCGCCACCCATCCATTATTTCCTTATATGGCAGGTGGGAGGCCAGTTAAACTGCTAACCTGTAGAAATTATTAAAGCGCGTCACCCATGGAGATTTTTAAGTACCGTAGTTTGATGCCATTCCACAAGCGTGTGCAATTTTAAAGTGTAACATGTTGGGTATCTATTTACTCGGTGTAACAGCATCTTTCATATTTTACCAAAAAATTGGGGTATATCTATAATTTTCTTTTTTTTTTTTTTTTTTTTTTTTTAAATCATTAAAGTGTTTTTTTCCCCAAAAACATTGCATTGAAAAATCTATATACATTTTTAAAAACTGTTAATTTCAGTTTTGGTTTTTGGGACAGTGCATCCTGAATTTCGGTTTCAGTGCACCACTAGTGTTTGTGTTTTTTTTTTTTTTTTTTTTTTTATTGCCTTTTTAATATCGCTTAAATTCGTTATTCCCTCCAGATGGACGATACAGAAGATATAACCTGAAAGAACATCCCATCAACTTCCCAGATGGTGACATGGGAGATGACATCACATCCGTTTCTTCAGAAGAAAACCTAGTTTCCCCAAATCCGCTTTCAGTATCTGAAATTAATCTGCTGGGTGACTTGCCCAATGACATTCCTGAGAGCGCTGAATCTCTTGCTGAGAGAGAAAAACTTCTTTCACAGCAGACAGGTCAAAAAGCGATGAAGCCTTATTCATGTTTGCAGTGTGGGAAATGTTTTTCCCAAAGAGGCTATCTTCTCTCCCATCAGATCAGTCATACTGGAGAGAAGCCATTTTCTTGTACGGAATGCGGAAAATGTTTTACCTTCAGATCCAGCCTTTTTGTACATCAGAGAACTCACAAAGGAGTGAAACCTTATTCCTGTTCGGAGTGTGGGAAATGTTTCACTCGGAGATCTGGTCTCGTCGAGCATCAGAGAATTCACAGCGGCGAGAAGCCATATTCATGCTCTGAGTGTGGGAAATGTTTTTCTCAGAAGCAACATCTTATTGCACACCGGAGAACTCACTCGGCCGAGAAGCCATTTTCGTGTTTGGAGTGCGGGAAATGTTTTTCTCACAGGTCGCGTTTGATCTCCCACCAGGCCACGCATACAGGGGAGAAGCCGTATTCATGTTCTGAATGCGGAAAATGTTTTTCTTTCAAGCATTTACTACTTCTTCACCAGAGAGCCCATGCGGGAGAGAAGCCATTCTCCTGTTCGGAGTGTGGAAAATCTTTTTCCCAGAAAGGCGATCTTACCTACCATCAAATGATTCATACTGGGGAGAAGCCGTATTCATGTTCAGAATGTGGAAAATGTTTTGCGAAGAGGTCCCATCTTGCGAGTCACCAGAGAACCCACACTGGTGTGAAGCCATACTCTTGTTCGGAGTGTGGGAAATGTTTTGCCAAAAGGTCATATCTTACAGTACACGAGACGACTCATACAGGGGTGAAGCCGTTTTCCTGTCCCGTATGTGGCGAAAGTTTCTTTTTAAATTCATCTCTTACTAGGCACGAAAGAATTCATACCGGGGTGAAGCCACACGCATGTTCAGAGTGTGGGAAATGTTTCACTGAGCGATCAAGTCTTATTGTTCATCAGCGAACTCACACAGATGTGAAGCCGTATTCGTGCTCTGATTGTGGGAAACGCTTCACTCGGAAAACAGGCCTGATCGAACACCAGAGAACTCACAGCGGGGAGAAGCCATATTCCTGTTCCGAATGCGGCAAATGCTTTGCTACCAGATCGTATCTGACCAAACACGAGAAAGCTCACTCGGGGGTGAAGCCATATTCCTGCTCAGGGTGCGGGAAAAGCTTTCACTTTAAAGCGGATCTGAACAAACATGAAAAGATTCACACAGGGGATCTTAAAAAACCCCAAAAAGTTCACAGAGGGGAAGTTGCACATCTGAAACCTTGCTGCGTCTCGGATAGTTCACACAGGTGTGTTCCTGACCTGGTGATCTAAGCAGGGGAAAGGTTTTACCAACTGGTCAAGTTTGGCTGCACTTTATCAAACCCACGCCGGAACTCAGCCCTAACCCCAGGGTCACACCTAAGCGTTTTCAGTAACGCAGTGCAGTCCATTTAACATGATTTTCTATGGGACACGTTCACACCTGTGCTTTTTTGGAAAGGGTTAGGGACTTTTTCTGAATGCAAAAAAGTTGTGTTTTGTGGTTCTATAGACTTCAGTGGAAACTCTACAGAAAAGCATGTATTGTGTTTTTTCTGTATTTTTTTTTTTTTTTTTGTATGCATTTTGCGTTTTTAAATCTGCCTAGCAACAAGAAAAAAAAAAACCTCAAATGCAACCTGCATAGGTGCAAACCTAGCCTTATGCAGGCCATACATGGTTTGAATTCCAAACGATTTTTCATTTGAAAATTTGAAAATGTCGTTTGTTTGGTGCCAGCAATGATTTAAAAAATTGGTCGTTTTTCACTCATTTTCCAGCATGCCCAATAAACGAAATGGGGAGGAACCATGAAAATCGGTTGATGCCATTGCCCTACTAACAGACCGAAAATCGGCCGATTATTCTTAGATCCGATTTTCGTATGAAAATTGTTTGGAATTCGAACCATGTATGGCCTGCATTAGTTTGCATTCACACTTGATCTATTTGTAGCTTGAAGCTCTAAAAACTCTCAAACTTTAAAAGAAAAAAAAATAAAATCAATGATGGTGCCTGCTCACACCTAAACGCACAAATGGTCACCATAGAGAACGATTGATATTTTTAATTTTTTTTTAAGTTTGAGCATTTTTGGAGCTTCGAGCTAAAAATCGATCAAGTGTGAATGCAGACTAAGGCTAGGTTCACACCTGTGCAGTTTTGCTTTGGATACGTATTGGCGGTGCGTTCTTGCATATGCATTTTTTTTTATAGCATTTTGTGGGGTTTTATTGGCAAGTTGGGCAGATTAACCTCTTCGTGCTGGCGCCTTCTGGCCCTTTAAGAGGTTTCAGATGCCGGGAGGCGTGGCGGGGTTTTAGGGTCATGCGACTTTTGTGATTTGCTGTCACAGCGGTCACATGATCGGAAAAGGTCCCAATCGCAAGGGGAGATAGGGACCTTTCCGTGAATCACCGACACGTGCTGGGAGCAAGCAGGGCGCGCATTCTCAGCACATATGTGCTTTCAAATGGTACGCAAATATGCGGCCGCTCGGCGTCAAGGCCCAGCTGCCAAGAGGCCGCATATTTGCATACTGTCGGCATCAAGGGGTTAAAATGCAATAAATGCATTTCTGCAGCGTCTCCATTGAAGTCTATTGATAAGAAAAGTCCCTAATTCTTTTAAAAAACGCACCGGGTGACCAGGCCATTTTTTGCGATACGGCACTTTCATTAATTTAACTGACCATTGCGTGGTCATGCAACGTACACCCAAATGAAATTAGTCCCTTTTTTTTTTTTTTTTTTTTTTTTTTGAGCTTTTTTTTGTATTCCCATTGCAAATGTGAGCGTTTTTTTTATTTATTTTCTTTTTTTATGCGCTGTAAAAAGACTGACAATTTTGAGAAAAAAAAAAAATATTTTTGACTTTTTGCTATTAAACGTTCAGTAAAAAATCCAATTTTGTCATGAATTTAGGCCAAAATGTATTCTGCTCCATGTCTTTGCTAAAAAAAAAAAAAAAAAAAAAAAAAAAAAATCCCATTAGTGTAAATTAATTGGTTTACATGAAAGTTATAGCGTCTACAAATGGCGGTGTGTATATATACTTTTAATTTTAAGTTTTTTATTTTTACTAGTAATGGCGGCGATCAGCTACTTATAGCGGGACGGTGGCGGGCATTCTGACACTGGGGGGGAACTGACTTGGTGTCACTTACATCCCCAGTGACCAGTGCTAATAAAAAGCACTGACACTGTACTAATGACACTGGGCAGGAAGGGGTTACCATCTGGGGTGATCAAAGGGTTAACTGTGTGCTGTGTCTGTGCTTCACTGTAAGTACATTGCATTGTATGGCTCTGCTATGCACAGCTGTGTGCACGGGCTGACAGGGAGAACTGTTTTTTTGATTACAAACAGTCCTCTCCCCGCCCCCGTCGGAGATGCTCGGCAATCGCTGTACACCGACGAGTAATCACTGGCCAGTTCCCGGTGATTGACAGCTGCGAATGGCGGTGTGGGTAGGGCTCGCGCACGCCCCCTACTCGGAAATGCAAAATCACGTATATGGACGTGATTATGCACAACCCTGCTGCCATGTATCAGTATATCTGCTATAGGGCGGCGAGAATGCGGTTAAAGTAAAAGGAAATGCATAGCAATGAAAAACCTGGTTAATGATGCTTCTTCTTTCCTCTGATGCTCTCTGCTTACACCTTGTGAGTACTTGATTTTTTTAAGTGGTTCTACACTCTAGGGCAGGGGTGTCAAATTGGCAGTTCCAGCTGTTACGAAACTACAAGTCCCATCATGCCTCTGCCTTTGGGAGTCATGCTTGTAACGGTCAGTCTTGCAATGCCCCATGGGTCTTGTAGTTTGGCAACAGTTGGAGGGCTCGCTAGGGCTAGTTCACACCAGATGCAGTTCAGTGTGTTTGTTTTCTGCATCAAAAATGCATGCACAGTGTTTTCCATGTATTCTAATGGCCCTGGTTCACACTAGTACAGTCTGTTCCAGTCAGTTTCTGGTGCAGAAAAAAAAAGTACAACATGTTGCATTTTTTTTTTCTGCACAGAACTGTACTGGAACATAGCAAACTGCACCTGAACTGCGTGTTGTGTGAACTGTAAGCAATAACGTATCTGGAATGCATCTGGCGTGCATTTTTTGTAGTGTGAACTGGCCCTAAAGGTTTTTTTTTACCTTTAAAGAAGAACTCAGAGATAGGCAAAAAAATCACCCATTAGTACACCCCCCCCCCCCCCTAAACAGTAATAACATTTTAATAATCTCTACCATGGTGGAGAAAAGTCTTTTTGAATTTTCATGACCACCTATCTGTAATTGAAAAGATAACTGCATCTACTCTGCCAAGGAGGAGGTGTAACAGCCGGGATTACCTCCTATCTTCTCCCCTCTGCAGTAATAAGAAACTACAGTTCTCATCATCCACAGGGAATTGCAGTGAATATGAGTGGGTACACTAGGCCTGTACATGTTGAAGGTGTCTGAGGGGCTGGGCCCGCCCACCACTGCAGGTTCAGCTGAATGACATTGCTGCTTCCTGGAGAATGAACTACAGAAGGGTGGTGCCAAGACCAGTAGCTGGGGGAATAGGCAGAGCAGCCACCGGTCTTACAAACAGGAAACCATAAAGTATTAATAGTTTGATTTGAAAATTAATCTGCGATTTCAGAGCAATTACTGAATTAACCAGAATATGGAGGACATATTCAGTGAAGGTAGGAAATCAGCAACACGGACTTGTAAATATAGATTTTGGCTGGAGTTCTGTTTTAATGCATTCCCTGCATTAAGGTACAAATCTTTCAATTCTGCTCCCCCCCCCCCCCCCCGACAGTAGTACAGTGTCAGTACTTTTCATTAGCACTGATCACTGCATTAATGACACTGGGCAGGAAGGGGTTAACATCTGGGGGTGATCAAAGGGTTAACTGTGTGTTACGGAGTGATTTTATTGTGTACTGTGTTGTGTTTTACTAAGCAGACCAGCTGCTTTCTATCTCTCTGCACAGCAGAGAGAGATAGAAAGCAGCACATCCATGCTGACAGGAGAGAGAGCTGTGTTTACACACATCTCTCTGCTCTCGGCTTCACTGACGATCACCGCATCCCGTCCAAAAATCACTAGCCAGGACCCAGTGATTGACATCCCCAGCAGCAAATAGTAGCACGGGTAGGGTGGTATGCGTATGTGCCCCCTACCCGGAAATACGAAATCACGTATATTTACGTGATTTTTTGCCCTGCAAAGCTGTCCTGTAGTAGTGCATCTGCTATGGGGCAGCGGGCAAGTGGTAAAAGAAGAAATTTAGGCAAAATGTTTATTTTGTCATGCAGTGACGCCTGCACTGCATGGGTTAAATGCACGTTTTTGTCAAGAGGTTCATAAAGTGGAGCAGTGTGTTAAGTAGACCTTCGATTTTTTTTATTTTTTATTTTTTTTTTGCAAGGTCCATGGTGAAGAAGTCAATCATGTGCTGAAGGGTAGGAGGAGAGAGCAGAGGGACAGAGAGATGATCTTATCAAGGCTGCTGCTTCTCCTTTCACTGTACAGTCACAGGCTGAGTGTAAGTAGTAGACCTGTAAGTAAAAGTGAAGCTGCAGCAGAGAAACATTATATTTAAGACATTTTTAAATGTATTTTTTTGTTAAAAGTTTCAGCAGGTAAGTACCCTAGTATCAGCCTTTTGCAGTCCCTGTACTGCAGTGGTCAGGCTGGGATGGCAGCTCAAGATGGTAGCATTGGTCGAGAGTGGAAGTGAAAACACATATATAAATTCTTTCATCGATTCTAACCCTTTCCCACTCTCTCCTATGATTTTATGTTTATAACATGTTGTGAAATATGGTGGTGTAATATTAACCCTTTCGCTTCCCCGGTCCAAAAGTCGTACAGACCTGATGTTGGGGGGGGGGGGGGGTTTCACACAGGCAAGTGGCTGCAACCAACAGGATTGTGTCTAAAACGGACAGGTAAACTTCTGCCTGTCAGATGGCTGTGCTGCTGCCCGATTGCTTCCACAGTCGGGGTCTACTACTTACACTCAGCCTGTGACTGTACTCTGGGCTCCACTAGCGCATGTCTCATTAAAGAGAACCTGTCATCTAAAAATCATCACATTGAGGATTTTTTGTCCCCTATGTGATGAAAAAAAAAAACTCAAGTAAAAAAAAAAAAAAATCTTTTCATTGCAAAAAAAAAAAAATAAGCACCCACTATCCCCCCTCCCCCCCCCCCCCCCCCAAAAAAAAAAGTTGAGGCCCCCCAACCCACCCCCCTGTCACGCACTGCCGCCATGTATTCTGGGCTCCACTTGCTC